GCTGCTGCTGCTGAGTTGGAAACAAGTCGCTTACTGGTTCTGCTGCTGCAGCAGCACCTGCTGCTGCTCCTTTCGGGTTGAGCAGCAGCTGCTGCTGCTGTGGTTGCTGCTGCTGCTGCGGCTGTTGCTGCTGCAGGCCAGGAGCCGACGGCTGCGCTGTAAGCTGCTGCTGCAGGTGCAGCAACTGCAGCTGCTGCTGCTGCTGCTGCGGACCATTGTGCTGCTGCTGCTGCTGCTGCTGCAAACCAGGAGGAGCAGCAGCAGACGGACGTGCACCAGCAGCAGCAGCAGCAGCAGCAGCAGCAGCAGTGAAGCTTATGTGGCTAGAGGGAGATCCTCCTTGCAGCAGCAAGCCATGTTGCTGCTGCTGCTGCAGCTGCTGTTGCTGCTGCTGCTGCTGCTGCTGCTGCTGCTGCTGCTGGCTGTCTTCCACTTGAGCAGCAGAGACGGGCTGCAGCTGCCTGGGGTCGTTCCTCCCCGCAGCAAATGAAGCAGCAGGCGAAGCAGCAGCAGCAGCAGCAGCAGCAGCAGCAGCTGCTGCTGCTGCTGCTGCTGCAGTGCTCGTGTTTCTGCTGCCTGGCGGAGGCCTCCGTGAGCTCCTTGAGGAGCTCCCTCCTGCTGCTGCTGCTGCTGCTGCTGCTGCGGCGGCGGCGGGCTTCCTGCTGCTAGCATGACTCCCCTGGCGACCATTGGCAGCAGCAGCAGCAGCAGCTGCTGCTGCTGCTGCTGCTGTTGTTGCAGACGGGTGTATTCCTTGTATATGCGGATTGGCCATTGCAGCATTGCTGCTGCTGCTGCTGCTGCTGCTGCTTGCTGCTGCTGCTAAACCTTGACTACCACCGCTACCACCAGGAGCAGCAGCAGCAGCAGCAGCAGCAGCAGGAGCAGCAGCAGGAGGGTCCGTTGGGTCCTGCAGCACCCCCAGCTGCAGCAGCCGCCGCTGCAGCTGCCTGGCTAAGCCCCCTTCTGCTGCTGCAGGTGACCCTGAGAAGAAGCAGCAATTGAGGTCCTCGACCCAAGGAAACTGCTGCTGCAGCAGCAGCAGCCTCTCTGTTATTTCTGCTGCTGCTGCTGATAGTGCATGCACCTTCTCCTTTTGTGTATTCAATACACGAGACCAATCTGCTGCTGTTAGCCCGCTACTGCTGCTGCTGCTGCTGCTGCTGCTGCTGGTGCTAGCAATGCTGCTGC